CCTCCCCCGCAAAGAACAATCTACAATCTTCCAACTAAGAACAGGACACACACCACCATTAAAACCACCTGAACAAAATAAACTCCACACAACTCCCCCTTTGCAGACACAGCGCCCACCCCTTTGAAACCGTAAACCATATCCTCTTTGAATGCCCCTCCCTAATCCACCTTAGGCAGACCCTACTTCCACTACAGCCCAACATAACCAACACCCTGTACGGCAGTGCTGAACAACTGAAGAAAACAGCACATTTTTTTTCCTTGGCACAGTCTGCAAAAGAGCTAACAGCTCAGCAGCAATAAAGCTGGCTAGATGAAGAAGAAGAAAGCTATATAGATGTAATTATCATGTGAATGACTTTTTAAATATTTCATTTTCAGTTATTGTATTTAAAATAAACAAATACAAGTAGCTACAAGTTTCTTTCACAATCTTATTTTTTTACTACAATAGAAACTTACTTTTAGACTTTGAACTTCTAATTTGAGTTGAGCAATGTTTTACTCAAAAGACTACTTTCTGGCTCATTTCTAGCTTCAACGCATCCAGCTCTTGCTTTAATGTTCAGCATTCATGACAACTAGATTGTGATTTGTCATGATCTAAAAAGAAGACACACAAATAAAAGCCCACAATTTCTGAATGAAATATTCATCTCACTGAGAAAAACAGTTACAATAGCATGTCAAAGCCCATTTGGACACATAATTTTTACACTAATTTATAATGTTAACTTTCATCTCAAAATAGGAGAATTGACACTGTATGGAATAGGAAAAAAAAAATTGTTTTCTGTAAGTGCTAAAAATTGCATTGGAGTCTGGTGGCTGAGTGTGGTAAAGCACTTTCTGAACCTGAAAAGGAATGTCTCAAGTTTGAATCCCAATTAACAGAGTTTCTTGAACTTCAATATTTATAGGACCTCCTTGAGCTTGCACAACTCTAATGTGTACTGGCAACACCTTAATAAGCCATTAGTCATAGAAACATACATCTTCTTAGCTACAGAAACACAAAACTGTGATGAGGTTAGTTGTTCTCTCCCATCCTTTCAACATCAATAGCACAACATGGCCTATAAAACTTTCAACATCTCTGCCATCCTTTCAAATGTAAAATGTATCATGACTGATGTTGGATTGTTATCAGGAGAAAAACAATTACAAACCTTGGTTTTATCTATGACTATGATGACCTATCAAGACATTAAAATGAACTAAAATATCTTGTGCACGGATAGACCATGGTCAGCATTTAGTATGATCTTCACTGGAACAAAAAAGATTATGACTAGCCACCCAATAGCCAAACAGGTAATAGGGAAATATCACAGTCAAATATTAGCTAGAAAAAGTTTTCTAAATTATAGTTTCAAACAAAATAAATAGCAAATGGAATGAGAAAAAGTGCCTCTTAGAGCCAAAGTGTGAAAATATTGGCCAAGTCAATTTTTTATAAAGAATTTGAAGCAAGTCTTTTACAGAGATGTATTTGTCATAGAAATCAGATGTTTCTAATAATATTCTAAATATTCCATAATGCCTGATTATGTGACATGAGCTCTAGACAGCCATCACAATGGTTCTGCATTCAAACCCTACCCCCTGGCATTCCCTGCTACCTTGCAGGAGATTTGGGCTAGGACGTAGTAATCTTCATTCGTGGAGGAGCATCAAAAACAATTGAGCACATACAAATTTGAAAATTCTTAAAAATAGAGTCCTATCTATTGGAAAATTTCATGATAAACGAAACAATGTCAAAGACACTACATTGAAGTTACAAACAGAGGAGCTTAAAAAGCTTTGATCCTGCACTGCTCAAATGTGCACACAATCATTCAGGTAATTTTTGAAAGACATAGTTTATCACCACTTCTTTTATTTTATGCACCAGATACACCAAAAAGCTGGCTATTTATAGGTTTTCTCTCAGGTATGAAAATCTCATGTACTGCCTGTTTAATGATTTAAAGATAACCATTAATGTATTTTACCTAAGGTATCATTGACTTGCAATGAGATAGTGTAGTTGCTTTCATTATCACTAAAGTCACTGTACATCTCTTGGTTGTCATCAATTGTTTGTTCTATGAAATTAACTTTGGATTACACTTTTTAAATTAAATTAAAATCAGAAAAATAAAATTATAGGCAAATTACACAATGTGTTTTGTACTAGAGATCTAATATCCATTTTCCTGGTTTGGATCTAGATGTATAAAACTAAAAGAGCTACTGATGTCACAATTATCTGTGTCATGCTCAAAATAGATTGGCCATAGAAACAGATGACTATCTACCCAATAGATTGCAAGGTCTGAAAGGGGAAACTTTACTTTTTTTCTTCTTGTTCAGGATTTCTATATGCTACCATCACAAAGAAGAAATAAGACACCATTTACAAAAAACAAATAGATACAAAAACTCTTTTGTTCCTTTGGCAATCAAATCATTAAACAATATGTTATTTGCTGATGTGAATTCCACATATAATGTTACAGGGGAACTGGGGTGTGAAAGCATATTTTGTGTGCTATTGTATAAATTGTTTGCTTTTATACTGAATTGTTACTTGTACTGCACAATTGTGAAACAAAGTTCCTCAAGGATAATAACAATTATTATTATTACTAATTTTTTTAAAAGTTGAAATTCTAAACAAAACAATCAGATGAACTAATATAGCATTAACATTAGAAAAATATATTTATATGTGACTGTGAACTAAATGAACAATATGAACTAATATAGCATTAACATTAGAAAAATATATTTATGTGTGACTGTGAACTAAATGAACAATATGAACTAATATAGCATTAACATTAGAAAAATATATTTATATGTGACTGTGAACTAAATGAACACCTACCTGACTATGAAATTTGTTGATAACCTCAAAAAGCATATATTTTTTTCCATTTACTACCACCAATGTCAAAAAGATCCAGAGTTTTTCTGACTTGATCATCCTGAAAAGAGTGGTACTTCTTGCAGTTTTGATGCTGTTCTTGAAGAATGAATTGAGAGCATATGTGTAAGGAGGTACAGTGTCTTTTAGTACACTTCTGCCTATCATTGTTGTAATACTTACATATCTGGGGAGTAGTCATTTTACAGCAACTCAAAGGTAGTCGAAATAAGGTCCTCAATTCAAGTTCACTCAGCTTATCAAGATTGTTTTTCTTCAAGAGATGGAAATTGTGTTGAGAATGGAAATCATGAAATAATTTTTATTGGTTCATTCAATTGGAAGTTTAGTTTGACAAGTGGCCACCTCAGGGTAACTACTACCTATTCTGCTAATGTGAACCAGCTGGCTGGCGTCACTAAGACTGGTGTCATCCAGTGAGGTTAGCTAAGTGTGTCAACCCCTCCCCAACCTCCCAATCAGCTTTCCCTTTAAAAAATTCCAGTTAAAAAATATTGATGGTTTGTTCTTTTCATTACACAGTTAGCTAATCACCCACATTCCTTAACTGTTAGATAACTGTAAATTGAGAGGTGATTCTACTTCAAAAATACATTTTTATGATATTTTACCAATTATGGAGATAATTTAAATAAAAGCATCGACTGAACATGTTTTTTTTATTAAACCTTAAATAGCTCGTACTGATATGCCTTTTCATTATCCTATTTTGAATTGCAATGATGAATGAAAAAAAATGCAACCTTTTGTAACAAATATTTAAGGGTACAAACCCTTTTTAAAATGTGTTAATAATCTTAATATTCAAAAGAGTACAAGAAATAACTAAGCTTCATACAAATTACAAGTTTCCTTTTCTGGATTTAAAACTTGTCAATAACTTCACCCTAAGTCAATTTCTTTTATGATTTTATTTTCAGTAGACAGTAATGCCAGATTTGAAAGTTGTGTCTGTCCCTATGCTGCCTTTAGATGAACAGACAGAGAAACTTAGATGGTGTGATCTTCATGTGCACAGAGATTGTGATGGTGTGATCTTCATGTGCACAGAGATTGTGATGGTGTGATCTTCATGTGCACAGAGATTGTGATGGTGTGATCTTCATGTGTACAGAGATTGTGATGGTGTGATCTTCATGTGCACAGAGATTAAATTGGTGTGATCTTCATGTGCAAAGAGATTGAGATGGGGTGATCTTTGTGTATAGAATGACTTAGATGGTGTAATCTTGATGTTACAATGAGAGATTGAGAATGGGTGATCTTTATGGTGCACAGAGACTGAGATCTTATGATCTTCATGTGCAGAGAGACTGAAGCAATACAAAAATTGACAATGTTCCTCCTATCCTATCAAGCATTGAATCTATTACTAATATTACTATTTTTAACACTGACACATACATAAAAATAAAAACGACATCTTCTTATATCTTTAAATCTTTATTACATAAATAAATGTATAAAAAAGTGGAGGTAATTACTATAACATTCACAGTGCCCCCACCTGAGGGGAAGAAGAGGAAACCGTGTCTCGTATTCTTTTCGACTGCTACAGACTTGCTGATCTTTGTCTCGACAGGTCAGGGAAACCAAAGTTCTCGACCTGTATAGTGACATGTATGCCCTATGCAGGACAGCGGGGTTTCTGTCCAGGGCTTTTGCAAGAGAGGATGAGCCCTCACTCAAATGGAGTTGATGATGATGATGATCACAACATTTAAAAAAAAATATAGGTACACAATTTTGATGAGACAAAAATGAATCAGAAAAAAAAATATGTCAAAAAAATGCACTGGACAGATCCTCATGGAGAGAGAGCATAAAGGAAGGGTCAAAGATTGCAGATGCCATACACAACAGAAGCAGAAAGAAGGGTGAAAATGCAACGGCGCCTGGTGATTATATATGCCCAACCTGCTATCACAGCTGTGTATCAAGGATTGGCCTCTTTAGTCACACAAGAAGTTGCAAAGGGAAAAGATCGTCTCTCGAGACGTAAAATAAAGATAAGATATTGTAAAATAAACTTTACTTGATAACATAATAAAAAATATACATAAATTAGTCTAAAAAATTATCATCTAGAATTGTAACAAAGTACTGAGGTGGCAGTGTGACAAGATGCTTAACTTCCGCAATGGGGGTCTCGAGTTTGAATCTTGGTGAAGACTGGGATTTTGAGTTTCAGAATTTTAGGGTGCCCCTGAATCCACCCAATCCTAATGGATACCTGGTCTCAGTAGAGAAAATAAAGGTGATTCGTTGTTGTGCTGGTCACATGACACCCTTATAAACGTTGGACATGGAAACAGACGAATGTTAAATTATCTGCCCCTGCAGATTACAAGGACTGAAAAGGGTACTCATATGGTCTGAAGAAAAACAGACTACATCAAGCTATAAATAGTAAGAACTTCACAATTATTTTTTGAATAATTAGGACTGTACAGTAATTGTAAATCAACTAAAAATATTGAGTGTTTTAGTTGTTGTTTTTTTTTTACTTCTTTATTTCATACAAGCAATGTTTGTATGTTTGATTCAAAAAAGTTTTTTTCTAAATAGCCTTAGCAATAATTGTTAAATGGCTTTTGTTTTCATTTTTTAGACTACTCGATCACCTAGAACACTATTCAAAAAGTGTTTTTTGAAAATAATCTATTGTTTTAGTTGTTTCCCTTGCTGCAAAATACTTTTGAGTAAAATATGCAATAGCTGGCAATTAAAAATGAAAAAAAACAAACAACAGCAACAGAAATCTTTTTTAATGTTTGTTTTAAATCAAAACAATATTAGAGTTTAAATGTTGAAGACTGCAGTAGCCAAAATGGGACAAAGTATTCCTGAATTCCCTTTTAGGACTTCACTTATTTCTATGTTAATAACAGGAATAGTTAACTTGAAAAAAAGTATGATAAATCAATATGAAAACTACAATAAACATTGTTATATGAGCAATATTTTTGTTTAGCAGAAAATAGGGTTTATTTATCACTAACTAAAAAGTATATCTAATATTGTAATTATAGGCCTATATACAATAATCATGGTAAAGTTCTTAAAAAAAATAAAAAATTTCACAGATGTTATATGAACTAACCTACTTTCTAGTTCATCTTTTTTTTTTTGTTCTCTTTCTTCATTCAATGTTCTCAAGTTCATTTTTTTTATTGTCCCAATGCTCTCAGTAAGAGATGTCCATCTAATAACATGCACACCATATAAAAAGAAAGTGAAATTTCTTAAAATTTTGTATGTGCTAACTACACATTGAAGATCACAGCCCACTAAAAATAAATTTCTCAATAAAGTAAAGGTAATAATCTCTTTGTAAGTTCCACAAAATGTTTGTACAAATAATTAGTTAAAAGTTAAACCCGATATTGGACATTTCCTGGCAGACGTTTCTTGAGCACTCTTGTTTACCTAGAGTTAGGATAAACAATTTTTTTAAAAGTTATAACAGACCTTACATAAGTACCCTAAGAACAAAGTAACATTAATGAATTGTGTTTATTTCCTTGACTTGTTTCAGGAGTTTCTTTCACAATGTGTAATTCAGGTAGGCTTTGAGCATGGGACTATTACAAGTACAGTCCATAGTGCATTCCTCATGACCCGTTGAAATATAATTGTTTTTAAGTCAAACGATAAGTTGCTTTTAACCGATTTTTGAGGTAGAACATTGTATGTGTAAGCATTGAAACTGTAGTTTTAACTTTCTAATTATTTTTTTAATACAAGTCAATAGATTACAACAAGAAAATGTTATTAAATGCTGATATATCATTTGTTATTAGGTTTAGGATTGTATTATAAGTAAGCCCGTAGGAGAAGAAAAAAAAAGTATATGTTGCTAGTTGCTTAAGAACACTATCATTTTTAGCAACTCATTTTTCAACAATCAAAAGTGTTATTTTTCTGGGAACAATTCATCACAACCATTTTCTGTGTTTTTGATGATGGAGATGTGTATATGTCAATTGATTGTTGGCCAAGGAAGTACTCAGTTTTCATATATTGATTCTTTTTTTTTTTTTTGAGGGGGGGGGGGGGCGTTGGCATTGAGTCTGCTATGTTGCATTATATAAAGCATTGTTTGATGACATTAATTATTGCTTTTTGCTATGATTTTCAAATATTAGTAAATACACTGGCGATTGTTCTTCAATTATCTTTTATAGAGCCTGTATATTGCTAGTATGAGTATGTTGTGGTTTCTCGAGTCAGAGTAGCTGTTGACACATTGTTAGCATGGTGTTAGCTTTTGATGGTTATGTGTCATGTTAGAGTGAGGCTCCATGTTTGACAGGTGTAGGTCACCTAGTTTAGTTATTACTATTGTAACATTGTAATATTTTGAGATTGATCAATGGGAAATAACCCAATTATTGTTATTGAGAAGCGAGTATGTACAGAGTTACTTTTATTGGATCAAGAGTGTTATGAAGCAAAAGATAGGCAGTCGTATGCTAGAAAAGAGAGAGAGAGAAAGAGGTCATGTTTTGGTTCACTGTAGTTGAAAAGTGATATTCTAAATTTTATAACATTTTTAGAAAGTGATATTGATATTTCTTGTAAAAATAGTTAAGTCCATCTTATTGAATATTGCGTTGAACAAGAAGTATTATTTTATTCAATAAATTATAATGTGCAGTATAAATTAAAGTTATTTATTTATTTGTTGAAGTGACATGTGAAGGGTTGAATAACACTTAGAGATCTTAGATCTTGATAACACTTAGAGATCTTAGATCTTGATAACACTTAGAGATCCTAGATCTTGATAACACTTAGAGATCTTAGATCTTGAAAACACTTAGAGATCTTAAATCTTGATAACACTTAGAGATCTTAGATCTTGATAACATTTAGAGATTTTAGATCTTGATCTATTAACAGTTTATTGTACGTTGGAGAAACTCAAAAAATAAAAATAGTATTCTTATAAATTGTAACAACCAGTGTAATAAGTTGTATGTTATAACTATATTATTTAAATACTTTTGTATGTACTATGCACTATATTACTCTTTATAGACTGGATATTCTATTATTGTGTGTGAAGTTGTTTTGGTTTAGTATTACATGCCTGGCACTTATGTATGTACTTAATATCATTGAAATATTCATTCTTCATTATTAAAAATTCAGTTAGTTAACCTTATCAGTTGTATGGCATTCCCGCATACAATCCAAATAGCCCAATAGGAGTTTACCTAGCAAGGGAGATGGGAAACCAAGGAGCTGTGGGTAAGTGGCCTGCTGCCTAACAAGGAGGCTCAAGCTCCAATCCTGATGTAGACCAGACCAGGATTTTTTTTATTGGGATATGGCTCTAGCTGGGTTGTTTGCTGGGCCCCCAGCCACTACACAGAAATATTCTCCTCTCCTCCTCTCAATTACAAAAAGAGATTGGGTCAGAGTAACAAAAAGAGATTGGGTCAGAGTGGCAAAAAGAGATTGGGTCAGAGTAACAAAAAGAGATTGGGTCAGAGTGGCAAAAAGAGATTGGGTCAGAGTGACAAAAGAGATTGGGTCAGAGTAACAAAAAGAGATTGGGTCAGAGTGGCAAAAAGAGATTGGGTCAGAGTGACAAAAAGAGATTGGGTCAGAATGGCAAAAAGAGATTGGGTCAGAATGGCAAAAAGAGATTGGGTCAGAGTGAACTGAAAGATGTCCCTACAAAATAGCAATTAAAAACAAGAAAATATTTTTTAAAATCTTATATTAAGTGTACTTGTATCAATTAGTCTGGATCAGTCATGTAATTAAATTTGTATTACATCTAGACTAACAATAAAAAAAAAACATATATACATTTTTTTTTAAAAAGGGGGAATGTCCTGAATTTGAATTCATGGCTAAAGCCTTCTGAGGCTTTTCAAGCCAACACGAAAACCACTCTGCTAGTGGAGAGCCTACAAACATGGAAGATTGTATAGTTATGTATTGTTTCTATAGTCTCGTCCTATTTTTCATGTTGTGTTCACTAAGACTTAGATGATGACCTATAAAGGGGACTTAATCAGCTTATACCATCACTTCAGAAAAGTAAAAATTTTTTCCCATGTTTAAAATACCAAATAAAATAATTAATTACCAATAGTTAATTAACTAATTTTTTTTTTTTACATTTTCTTGTGTTGTCAGCATGATCCGAGATTTGGTGTGGGACAAATAATGTGTACAAGCTTTGTACCAGACAGACAGACAGAAAAGAGTTGATGTTAGCTTTGTAAAAAGAAACAGAATTACACAATTACTAGGAAAATAATGTAATTAAGAAACTTACTCTTAGACTCTGAACTTCTGATTTCAGAAGGGCAAAGTCTCGTTCTAAAGACATTACTTTCTGGGTCATTTCTAGCTTCAGGGCATCCAGCTCTTGCTTTAATGATTTGCATCCATCACAAGTAGATTGGGATCTGTCATGATCTAATGTGAAGACACATAAGTAAAAGTACATTAAAAGCCAGCTATGTATTTCCGAATTAGATATTCATCTCATTGAAAAGAAAAATTAAAATTAACTCTTATGAATCCAATTTTGTCATGTGCATAATAATTAAAGTTTAAATTCAAGGAATGTGTTTTAGTGATTTTATACATGTATATTTATTTCTTTTTATGTCCAAGAAATAAAATAGTCCATACATTAAATAGTCCATACATAAAATAGTAGTAAGGGGCAGGGCATGGTGTCTAATTAGTAAAATGTTTGGCTTCTAAATGCATAGTACTTGTTTGAATCTTGATGAAGTTTTTAAATTTCATGATTTTTAAGATGCTGAGTCCACCTAACTCTTATGGTTGACTGCCATTATTTTGGGATATTTGTTGGTTAGTCTTTGTGCTGACCACATGACACCCTAGTTAACTATCGGCCAAAAAGAAAAACAACAGATGACCTTTACATCATCTTCCCTATAGATGGCAAGTTCAGAAAAAGGTACTTAAATATACTAAAATAGAAGGATGAGGATAGTAATAGTTTCACTAACTAAAGTATAAAGAGTCTTGTACTAAAGTATAAAAAGTCTTGTACTAAAGTATAAAGAGTCTTGTACACCCTAAACTAGTAAAGTATAGTCTTGTATACCCTTAACTGTTTTAAAATACTGGAACTGAAAAAGTGAATTTTTTTCATAATTAGTATTCCTAAAACTAATATAACTTTTTAGTCCCTTTGAATAATCTGCTACAAAATTAAAGACAAAATCAATTAAGCATACCAACAGTTGTGATGACAAGGAAGCCAATACGAGGAACCACATTTTCATGGTGGACTTTAGAGCAGCGTAGACACCAGGTAGGAAGAGGCTTTAGACTTTGCCAGTAACAGCTAGATCTTTGTGGAGACAGCTTGCCTCCCAATGCGCCTAATGGGATGGGAGGATCTAAGTCTAACTAAGTAAGTAAAGTACATTACCTAAGTGATGAGTAATTTGTCGTGATCCTGAGTAGTTGCTGAAGCTTGAGCTTTCGGAATAGTTGCTCTCATTATCACTATAGTCGCTATTCATTTCTTGGTTGCCATCAGCTGACTGTTCTGTAAAATTAAACTTAGGATTTTGATTTTTGATAGTAATAATATAGTATCAGTTAAAAACAAGAAAAATATAAAAACTACTTTTAAAAAGTCAATTCCTCCTTTACACAGTTTATAGAGGAACTATTTCGCTCTTAATATTAAGCAAATGTTGGATTTTAAGAAACGGAACTTTCTTTACTTCATACCATTATCCCCTCCTACCCTTTTCCATTTCGGAAGAAAAAAAATTCTATGAAAAAATGATCACCTACCTAGGCTATGAAAGCGGCTGATAATCTCAAAAACTTCATTTTTTCTCCAATCTTTACCACCAATCTCAAAAAGATCCAGAGTTTTTCTGACTTGATCATCCTGAAACGAGTGGTTCTTCTTGCAGTTTTTATGTTGTTCTTGAAGAATGAATTGTGAGCA